GCATCAAACTTTTCTGTCTTAGAATTTCGTAAAGTAAACGTACGTACGTAATGTGTGAATTTTAAATTTTATCATAATGAATGCAATCTCAATTTTAATCTCTGCTGGTTTGCCACTAGGCTGAACGTAAGTCTTGCTTGTATATCATCTTTAACTTTTCAAAGTTTCTGCAAAGTGCAACTTGTGTATTTGATTTTATTATAAATGTGAAAGTGAGAGATATCTTGTTACTGGCAATTTTTAATTCCCGTGTACGGAAAAAGTTACTACTGCAATATAACGCGGCAGGGTATTCCGCTGCAGATACTTAAGATCGTTATTAGATGCTAGATATGCTTCTTCTTTTGAAATCGATAACAGATACTCAAGAATTCTTCCTTTTATCTGATTAATTTACTTAATGTAACTATTAATTTTTTGATCTAGTTTACATTGTTCACTTCGGCCTAGCGGCAAGCTATCATAGAAATTAAGATTCTGTTATTCACTACGAGAAAATAAAAAATTTATGTTATAAATAATTTACAAAACCTTAAAAATAATTTTTAATCATAGGAAAAAGTTTGGTGAAAACAGAATCCCCTACATTAATTTAATTTCGACGAATATATCTCTCTAGTTAAACCAACGCTATCAACGCTTAGGATCGTTCAGCTTGAAGCTTGCTAACGTTATCGCGCTATTGGTTCCAAGAACAGCATTGATAACGTTTACGTCCATAGCGCGAATAGTGTCTCCCCGAATACACCCAGTGTCGAGCGTACGCGGAGGGCGATATTTATTTTCGTGAGCGCATTTTATTAAAGGCAGATTTTGAATTGGCTGGATTTACTTTTGAATATTTTTTGTTCACATTTAATAATCAGCTATGTTAATCTTATTAGTTACCAAACGAGAAATTATTGAATTTTTGATGAAATCTAGTACTAACGATACGTGCCATTATAACATGCCGATCTTAAACCCGGATATGAGGAGGGAAAGCATTCAATTTTTATTCATTATATTTTCTTTTCTGTATTATACTATTTTCAGTAAAGTCGTTTAAGTAGAAATTGTTACGTTATAATTATAATTTTATGTTCCCATATTGGATCCACCATTCTGAATTTCAAAATTGTAATATTATTTTCGAAATCAGCGATCCCAAAAACTCCGAATACCGTGTTTCGTTTTCAAATTAAGTCACTTTTAAGGCATTTTGGTCCGCCATATTGAATCAGCTATTTTAAATTTTGAAATTTTTACATCAGAAATGAAATCAGCGATATCGAAATTTTATATTAGTGTATCGGTGTTAGATATTTTCATATATTTTACGAGATATTAATTTTTGCCATTTTTTCGGGATTCTGTCCCACTGTGCAGCGTTGCAATTTCCGTTTTACGAATACTCTACTGGCCATTTCTAAATTCTCAACGAATTTCTGCAAATGCTTATGTAAATGTTAAACAAACATTTATGAAATTTCTCATTTTCGTCAGGGAAGTCGAAACGTTTGAAATTTATAGCGTTACACGAATGTATTAAAAGACGAATTTTATTAGTTAACTACATTTGCTCATTTTTTAAAAAAGCCTTGACATTTTAATTTATAACTTTTATATTTATTAAAAAGGCTTTTCAAATAATCGAAGTAACACAAAATACTCGAAACAAAACGAGGCACATGTCCGACTCATTCGAATGATCTCATGGATTAGATTAGATGACATGCTCATTTGTTCTAAATCCGTTCGTGTCACTGAACATTGGAGCACATGAATGTAACTGCTCCAACCGCCATCTTATCTGTGATCCAAGTGTTCTTTCTAAGTTAATTTGCAACATGCGACGCGAACAAACCTAAGGTAATTGTTAGTGCGATTATGGAAATCCCGGATAGTCTCCAGGACACTCCTGGTATCAGTGATAATAGTGGTAAACAGGTGGAGATCGAGAGTATCAAGAATCGCATTGTAAATGGCGAAAGCTTCGGCTGAAAAGATCGATATGTAGGAAGAAAGCTTGTACATGAGTTCGGTCTGAAGTTGAAGGGAATAGACAGCTGCGTATGTGCTATTATTGTTAATAGTAATAAGTTTTTGAACCATTAATATAAAATATTACAGAATCATCGATCAAAATGTGAAAAGTTTTTAAACAAAGACGGACTGGGCGCATTTGGGAAGCTGATCGAGGATATTAAGAGAAGCATTAGGAATCGAATGAAATGTAAGACAGATGAGAGTGGACTGAAATGAGTGTCTGTAGTCCGGAAGAGTATAAAAAATAATCCTGTATATATAGGATTACGCAATGTAGGACTACATGCGAAGAAAAATCATAGCGGCCGAAAAGTGGATAGTTATTCCTATAGCTCTGTAAGCGCATAATATTATTTAATATTTTAAGCATATCTTTAGAATGTTAAATGTACATTTAATTCATACACATTCTAAGAATATACTTAAAATATTAAATAATATTATATGCCTATAAAGAGGTACTACAAACGAGATCACATAGCTCATGGAGCTTAAAGATCACTATGAATAATCAATGATTGAATTAATCTTAAGAAAACGCGATGTGAGGTGCCAGAGTCGGAATCTGAGTGGAAATGGCTTCCGCATAAATCACGTTAAGAGGAATCAAAATGCGATATCCGAAATACAAGCGCAGGGCTTGATTCTGAATAACCTGAAAAGCTCTGAGATGACTGTTGTTGATGAGACTAAGATGCTGTATGCATATTCAATGAAGGCACATAGCAGAGATTTGTGGACAGAAAGTAGCATATGAGGATGGGAGCACTAGGTACCATGAAGAGTATTTTGTGAGAGATTTTAAAATGATTTTTTATCGATCTCTTGAAAAACAAATGTATATTTTTCCTATAGTCATTGATTTATTTCAACGTAAACACACAAATAATTTCAAAATTTATATCGATCAAAAATCACACATTTCTTAATTGCGAATTAGATTTATAAACACGGTATATAACATCCATAGAAAATCGTAAACAAATAATATTTCGTAAACTACCGCATTTTTGACATGATTTATACTTAGGATTAATAGGAGAAGCATATGATACAATTTAAATTAAAAGTTACATATTATCCGAATTGTTCCTTATCGATACACGTCGAGCGGTCGAGAAAACATTTTTCGGTCGCTTGAAATAAGTGCCCAGAAACCACCACTTTCTTCTACCGTCCAAAGTTGACCGTATCGCGACCGCACATGAACATGGGCTCATGCTTTTGTGTATCATGATGGTGATTCGCCGCCGCTTGCCACCGTACTCCCTCCACATGCCGTAAAATGCCGTAAACGAGTCCAATCACTGCTTGGAGGTAGAAAAATCTTGAGATGCATTCTGCTTCATAGGCTGTGTTCATTTTGGCACTCACACCGCTTCAAGCGTCATTTCATCCATGTTGCTTATTAAATATTAAACAAGGACAATTGATACTCACAAGTTGGCCATAGTCCGATTCACATTCACCACAGCGTTTAAAAATCATTTCATCTTTGTTGTTTGTCAAATAATAAATGAAGACAAATAATGCTCATGAGCATTAGCATTAATTGGATCACAGTCTTTATATTTATTCACCGAATATTAAAGAGAAAGATAAAATGATACATCATACGCAAAAGAGAAGCGCAAGTATCCTAATTGATTATGTAATCACATGTGACTTGGTAGCCAATTATAATATAATGGGTATTTTTTTTTAAACTGTTAAAGTATTCTGTTTACACTTTATAGGCATGTATGTATAAATTTAAACATTTTAATTGCATCTAATGCATATATTTGTGCTCTGCATATAAAAATATTATTTCTATCAATATTAGATGTATAAAATTATAAATTCACGGATGTATATCATATAATAAATGAACGGTAAAAAAAAACTAATTATTTATTAAATATTAATTGAATGTTTAAGCAGTAATGTAAAAAATGTTTTACAATTCAATTAAGACATTTAAATATTTAAAATTATCGATTTCATTTATAGTTTATAATTTGCATCCAAATTCAGGAGAAAATTACATTTTTAATTTACATATCGTATAACACAAGAAATATTTACAAATAAAATATGCACGCGTAAAGTCAAACAGTTTACTAAAGAAGATATCGAAGGAAAAAAGATATGGAAAAGCGATATGTAATACAGTATAAAAATAAGAGAATTGAAAAGAGGAAGACCAATTAAAAAGAACATTATTTTTAATGTTTTGTACATTTTCATTATTTTGTATATATCATAGGTACAGTTGCATACATAATTAGACATTGTGACCCAGAGAAGCGATTAAAAACTACTATAATCATATATATATAT